CCTGGAAGCGGCCGCGGAACACGCGCGCCTCGGCGCCCTGCTTCACCAGCTCCAGGCCGCTCAAGAAGCGGCGGCTCCGCTCCCGGGCCTCGGCCAGCGCATCGGCCTCCGCCGCGGGTTCTTCGCGCTTCTCCGCCGCCACAGCGCCGGACGCCGCCATTGCTCCGCCTCGGCGCCCCTCGGCTCTCTCCGGAGGTTGTCGGAGATGCTTCGGCTCTCTCCGAAGATCCTCGGCTCTCTTCGGCCAATCGAACGCCGACACTTCCGTCCAGTGCGAGTGGTTCCGCCTCCCAACCTTTCGACTATTTCCGAAGTCCCTCGAAAAGACTCTCGTGGTCCCGCCTCCCAGCTCTTCGGCTCTTTCCGGAAAACTGCGGCTCCTTTAGCGAAAAACTTTTGCAGGATCTCGGGTGTTTTCCCGAGCTGGGCGTTACCGTCGGGTGTTTTCCCGAGCTGGGCGTTACCGCTACGGAGGTAACCACAAGTGCCTGGCGCAACGTGTAATGCAGGAAAAAAATCCACATCATTTCTCTGAGTTTCAGCTTCATCATCCTCAGTACGAAGACAATCAGTTTTACTTTGGTAATTGCTTATTAAAATTAAATAAGATGTTGCCCCTGAGGGTGCCCGGTGAATAGCATACACCCTTCATATGTTCATCTTCCCTTTCACCTATCCCTGGGACTCTGAAATACTTCAGAGTATTCCCTTTGGTCCTATGGTTGCTGTGACGCCCATCTCAGCTCTGCAGTTTCATTCATCACAGGACAGGTCACCTTTCCAAACATCAGACCCTTTGTGATGGCATTACTGTGGCTTCCAGCACCTTTCATCAGCCCAGACTACTCAGAGCTCACCCAGAACCAACTCACTTCATAACGCCCAGTTTCCCAAGTGTGTGGGCTTCATTATCCTAATTGTTGGTGTCCACATAAGCCTTGTATTTCTTTGGTTACCAAATCTGTCTGAACCCCGCCTTTGAAAAATTCATTGTGCAAACGTTTTTACAAGTCCAAAGCTTGTTATGGTCAGACTGGTTCTGGCTTCAGTGGAAGGAAACCTGGCTTAAGACCTTTCACTGGCTCCCCACTGTGTTTAGGATAAAGACCCAGAAGGTCTTGCATGGGACCACTATGTCTGTCTTCCAGACTCATCTCTCACCAAATCCCCCTTTGCCCTCGGATCTTCAAACAAAATTGCCTTCTCTCAGTCTTTCATTCGTGCCAGGCTCCCTCTTGCAACTGCTATTTCTCACTGCTTTTCCCTCCCGTTGTTGCCTAGGCCCATCTAGACATCCTTTCATTCTCAGCTCAAATGTCACTTCCTCAGAGAAGCCCTCCTGACTTCTCAGAAGAGGGAAAATCCAACTTTTATAAGCCCTGGTGTCCCCATGAACCTCTTCTCTTTTGTATTATCACCGAATGTTGTTTTTGTTTGTTTATATGACCATTTGATTGGTGGCAGGGTTTATATCTTCACGGGCCTTCATTCCTTGCTGCCTATTGCCAGAGATCCCCCTCGCCTCTTGCCACGTGGGCCTCCCCATTGGGCAGCTCACGACATAGCAGGCGCCTTTATCAGAGTAAATGAGTGAGAGATCAGGAGAGGATGAGCAAAAGGAAGTCACCATCTTTTATAACCTAATCTCTAAGATGACATCATCACTTTTGCTGTATTCAGTTTGTTAGAAATGAGTCACTAGGCCCTGCCGATCCTCAAGGGAAGCCATTGGTGAAGATGCTACCGAAATGCTTGATTAGAACTTTTGCCTTCTCATCTGGGAAAACAAAGAGGGATTCTCTGTTCTCTAGGAGAGAGGGAACATGACAGCAAGTGTGCAAATATCCTCATGACACAATGCACGCCGAAGAGATCGCAGAGAGCTTCATGCTCCCTCCCACCATATAACTTCTGTAGGTTATCTCACATTAATGGAACACTTGCTGTAGCAAGTCTCCCGGTGACAACTCCAGGCACTCACAGGCGAAGTAGGAACTGTCCCTTGGCAACGGCCAAGACGCTTCCTTGGGATCCTCTCCATGCCAGAAAGGTAGCAGAGCATGATGGATAAGTGCCCGCTTTCCCATGACTGGGCTTGTCTCTAAGCTCAGCTATATACTAGTGGATGTCCTTGAGCTCTGTTTATCTTAGTTATTTGTTTATTATGCAAGCCAGTTACTTCACCTCCCTTTGCCTCAGTTACATCATTCATGGGGGTGAATTATAATAGTCCCTTTCTCATTAGGTAGTAGTTGCTGCATAACAATTTACCCCAAAACTTTGAACCTTAAAACAACCATTTAAATATACTCATAAAATGTGTGGGTCAGAAATCCAGACTGGGAACAATAGAGATATCTTGTCTCTACTCTACAAGATCGGGGCCTCAGCTGGAAAGATTTGACACTGGGAGCTGGAATCATCTGAATGATCATTCTGGAGCCAGTGCTGGGATGACTCAAAGGCTAGGACCACCCACTGAAGCATCCACATGTGGCCTCTCTCTACACCTTGGGTTCCCTCACAGCACCGTGGCCTCAGAGTAGTCAGACTTCCTAGAGGTGTGGGGCCCGGGTGCTAGTGTCCCAGTGACCCAGCCTCAGAAGTCACACAGTGCTACTCTGTGCACTGATTGAAGCAGTCACAAGCCCACTTTGATTTCAAGGGAGGAAACAAAGAATTTGGAACCAAGTTTTCAAACTGCCCCAGCTATTATTATTTTTAGAACTGGCTCAGAGGGTCTTGCCAAATGCCGTCTTCTTTGCCGAGGTGCCCATTTGTGTCTGTGGCATACAGCCCCTGCTGGGTGAGGGTATGTGACACATGTCAAGTGAGGTGTCTGTGTATGAGCATGAGATGAGGTAAGCCTGCGGCCATGTGCGTGCTGAGCTTGTACATGTGTTTTTGCATGAGAGTGAGAACTAGTGGGAGTATCCCCATTCTGGCTCCTTTCCAGAACTCCAAACTTTTATATCAAACACTCCACCTATTTCCACATGGATGCTGAATGAGCACCTTAAACATCACACAGCCAAAACAGAACTCTAGATGTCCTTTCTCCCCCAAGCTGTACCTTTTCCAATCGGTAAGTCCTTATCAAGTCTATCTCTGATCTGCCTACTTTCTTCCTTCCCCACTACTATCACCTTAGTCCAAATCAACTCCATCTCTCACCTGCAAAAGGTCCCCCTTTTCCACCCTTGCTCCCTATTACCTACTAGAATGCCCCAATTATTTCTTATGTCACTTGGAATAAAATCCACATTTCTGACCCTGGCCCCCCAAGGCCTTGAATGATCTGGCCCTTGCCAACCCCACTCTCTGGCCCCATCGCCCTCCACTCTCTCCCTTGCCTGCTGTGCTCCACACACTCTGGCTTCATTTCTGTTGTTTCTTATACTCTCCAAGCTCCTTCTGCCGCAGGGCTGTTGCCTTCGCTCTTCCTTCCGCCTGGAACCTGAGGTCTCGGCTCAGATACCCAGCCTCAGAGCAACCTTTGCGGACCCTCGAGCCAAAGCAGCCCCTGTGCCTGCCTGCCCCGTCACCCTAGTTTCATTCTCTACCTAGCCTTTATCACCAGCTAGTATTTCTCTGACTTGTTACTTCACTTTCTGCTTCCCCCACTGGAACGCAAACTGCACAAGAACAAACAAATCTGTCTGTCTTGTTCTCCCATCCCCAGGGCCTAGCTCGGTGCCTGTGTTCCTTGGGTGGTGTCCAGACTTGTGTCCAGTGAATGGAAGATGAGTCCTGGGAGAGTGGCTGAGTGGGTGTGTGTGTCCCCATCAGTGTAGAGGCAGGGGTGTGTGTGTGTGTGTGTGTGTGTGTGTGTGTGTACACGCTGGTGATCAGACTAGTATGGACTGATGTGATTGGCAAGTCTCCTTCCTCCAGGGGCTTGGAGGGGGTTGGACGCGGTGGGCAGCGCCCTGGGGAGGACGCTGGGGGGCATCCCTCGCGGGGAGCACAGTGAGTGGAGGCGCAGCCGCCGGGCCCCTCAGTCACGCCTCCAGGCACTTGGGGCCCGGGCTGGCCTACGTGGCAGCGGCGCTGGGGGCGGGCAGGCGGAGAGGGAGGGACGGAGGCGGGCCGGCCACAAAGTTTGTCTGCCTGGCGGGGACTTCAGCCCAGGGATGCCCGCCTGGTCGCTGGGCGCCCGCAGCACGCCTGGGTGTCCTGCTCGCCATGGGTAAGTCGCGCTCAGGCGCTGCCCACAGGGCTGTCCCCGTGGGCCCACCCGTGCGCGCACCCTCCGCCCCTTGCTTGCGCACCCCGACCCGATACCGCCCCCGCGGTGGCGAGTCCCGCACGCCAGGCCCTGGCTGGGGCCTGGGAAGGGACTTGGGCGCACTTCCTTTCTGCCCAGGAAAAAGTGACTTGAGAGTGCTCCTCACCTAAAACTGAGCGCTCACTCGGGGCCAGGCCCTCTCTTGACCGTCTCAAGCCTTTTAAGCCCAGGCAAGCGAAACTGTTCTGTTCTGTTCTGAAAAAAAATAGAGGCTCCCCAAGGAGCAAATTCATTAATTAATTCACCAGACCTGAGGATGCTGCGGTGAGCATGCAGACAAAACCTCTGCTCTGGAGATGATTCAACAGAGGGAAAAAGAGGAGATTAGAATGCAGAACTGTGTGTGGGAGGGAGTAGGGAATTTCTTTGTTGCTACAGGGGACCAAGGATTTTATATTTTTCTCTGGATTCAGAAGCCTCAGAGGGTCATTCTGTTATCCAGTCCTCTACTGTGTGACAAACGTTGGTTTACAGGCCGGGGGCTCAGTGGAGCACATAAAATAAGGTAGCACAATAGTGATGAGGGGGGCGTAAGCAGGAAGGGAGTGCCTCCTGGAGTAGGAGGCACTGGAGCTGAGATATCACTCAAAAGAAGTGGGCTTGCTAAGACCTGACAGAGAGCTTCCAGGTGAAGGAAACTGCAAGTGCAAAGGCCCTGAGTGAGCTAGTGTGGTCCAGGCCAGTGTGGCTGGAACACATTGGCAAGGGGAGAGCAGTGGAAGGGAGGTCAGAGAGGAGGGCAACGGCTAGATTATGTGGGATTTTGTAGGCCACAGTGAGAAGTTTGGATTTTATTCCAAGTAACGTGAGAAGCTGGAGAAAGATTTCAAACTTTGGTGGGGCATGATCTGAATTGTGTTTTAAAAACTCACTCTGGGTTGTTCTGTGGATAAGCTAACACTGGTGATAAGGTAGGCAGGCATATGGGGTAGGTATTACTATCATCTTCATTTATAGATGGGGAGGCTCAGAGAGGTTAAGTGAGCTGTGCAAGGTCACGCAGCTGTGAAGAAGAGAAGCTGGGATAGAACCCCAGCACTCTGGCTCCGGTCTATATTCCTAACCACTGTACCACCCAGCCTCTCATGCACAGGGTAATGGTGACCAACTCCAGCTCTGGCTCCAGAGCCCTAATTTGGGGCCCAGAATTTGGCCTATTCCTGTCCATGGCCACTTCTAGGCCCTGGACCTCACCAGACGCTTAAGAGCCAAGATCCATTCTCTCTGGATTTCCTACACCTCCAGAGTTCGTTCAATCAATCAAGCAATCAATCAATCATCCATTTATTTAGCAAGTATTTATTGAGTGCCTACTATATGCCACAAACTGTCCTCAGCATTAGGGAGACAGCTGAACAAACAATCCCTGTTCCTTTGGGGCTGACATTCTGATAGGGGACACCAATAAATATGTAAAATATATAGCTATTTCAGGTGGTGATAAGTACCATAGAGAAAAACAAGAAGGGAAGGGGAGTGCGAAGTGCTGGATGCTGTGGGGAGGTTGCAGTTTTAAGTAGAGAGCCAGGGGAGGTCTCACGAGAAGGTGATGTTTGATCGAAGAGCTGAGGGAAGGAGGGAAAGAGCCTTGGAATGGAGGGGAAGGCTTCCCCAGTGGAGGCAACAGCTGGCAAAAAGCCTTGAGTTGAGCCATGGCTCGTTTGGCTCAGTGGTTAGAGCGTTGGCCCACCCACCAAAGCATCTCGGGTTCAATTCCCGGTCAAGGGCAGGTACCTGGGTTGCAGGTTCGATCCTCTGCCCCGGTCGTGCCAGAGACAACCAGTCGATGTGTCTCCTCTCTTACACTGATGTTTCTTTCTCTTTCTCTCTTGCTCCCCCCCTTTCACCTCCTTTACACTCCCTCTAAAAATCAATGGAAAAAATACCTTCTGATGAGGATTATCAACAACAAAAAGCCTTGAGTTGAGATGTGCTCGGAGTGCGGGAGGAACAGCAAGGAGGCTGGTGCGGCTGGAGGAGCAGAGTGAGAGGAGGCAGATCCTGCAGGGCCTTGAAGGTCACTGTAAGGGCCTGGGCTATTTTCAGAGAGAAGAGGGAGCCTTGGAGGGCTCTGAGCAGAATGACATGGTCCAACTCAGGCTTTCACAGGATCCCTCTGGTTGCTGTGTAGCATTAGATTATGTTCAAATGTCCCTGACACAGCCTCTGGAATGCCACATGGTGATACCACCCTGGCCCCCAACTCAGCCACTGGTTCTTTCTGCAGAAACCTCATTGAGCCCCTCTTGGGTGTCAGGGCAGAGCTGGGGCCTTGGAGACAGAAGGACGGTAAGTCTCTGTCCTATCCTATCCTGTCCTGCCCTGTCCAGTTTAATAAGGACACATCAATGACCTCACGATATGGTGTGGGTACATGAAGGGAGAATGCAGTTGGTTGGAAGTGAGAAATGAGGCTTGGAAATTTGAGGAAGACATACGGGAACTATATCTAATGGCCCTGACTCCTTTGAAACCGTCCTTCATGACTCCCAGGACAGTATCATTGCATCATGTTTTGTGGCATGGGGTTTTCCTGAGAGCTTTACTCCCCCTCCACCTCTGCCCCCTGTGTCCCTGCTCTTTCTCACACCTCATGTATCTCTGATTGGCCCTTCTTGCTTGGTCAGTTCAGCAAAGCTCTTAAATATCTGGGTTTGGGAGTCAGATGGTCAGCATTTGAGTCCTGATCCTGTTGCTTTTCAGCTGTGAGAACACTCTGACCCTCAGTTTCGTCATCTGTAAAATGGGGATAACTGTAGCGGTATCACCTAGCGTTGTTATGAAGATGAACCGAGAGAAGGCATCTAAAATTACATAGAGGAGATGCTCAATAAATGACACTGGTTATTATGACTATTTCATTTCATGTTTATTTTTGCTGTTCTCTTACCACTGTGACCGGAATCTGTTCTGATGCGTTTTCCAGCAAAACCTGTACACAGTCAAATTTGCCTCTGAGTCCTTTGGCTGGGTTCCCTTCCACCTCAAGAGGAACCAGGATACGGCAAAGAAATTCTGTGTTTTCACTTGATTGCCTCACACAGCCTGGAAGAACCTTCCTTTCTAGCAGTAAATTCCAAGAACCGAGGAAGGTGGGGCAAAGGGAGGTAAACATGAGGTAGGACTTGGGCAACATAATCTCCCCAGGGTGTTTATTGATGGTCATGAACAGGTAGAACAAGGCCGGCCAGGGAATGGTAAGGGATTATTTCCCTGGGGGGCAGGGGGGATGGGAAGAAGAGTTAGCAGAAAAGGGAGGGGGTTTCCACCCATGCAACTCCTCCCCCTGTACAAAAATTGCCTAACACAGATGGGGAAAGGCAGAAATAAGAGAGAACAGAGTGAAATCATCTTATGACAAGGTTTTCTAATGAGGTGGTGAAGAGAATGGATTGTGGAGCCAGGCAGCCTGGCTTTGAATCTAGACACAGCTACCTACTACTTTTGACCTTAGTCAAGTCACTTCACCTCTCTGATGATCAGTTTATTCATTCATAAATAATATAAAAACCCACCTTACAAAGTTGTGGTGAGAATCAAATGAGTTATTGCACTTATGCTCTCAAAGCAGTGCTTTAAGTGCAATAACTCATTTGGTCCAGAGAAAACACTCAATAAATCTTGTTACAATGTTATCAATGTTGTCAGGTCTGGGGGGGTTGGCTAGGGCCAGCTCATGAAGGGCCTAGGATATTATGCTAAGGAGTTAAGAATTAGCATGGAGTGAGATACATACTGCTAGATTACTCTAGATGCTTCCAGAAATATTTAAGTTTAAATATGTGGATTAAAAACTCAGAGTAAACTATATAACTAAACTGCGAATATGGTAGCCTCTAGCCACATGTGGCTATTTTTACATGCAAATTAATTTAAATTAAATAAACTTAAAATTCAGTTCCCTAATCCCATTAGCCACATTTTAAGTGATCAATATCCATGTGTGCTGGTGACTACCATAGATCATCTCTCTCCCGGGCTCAAGCCTTCAACGGCTTCCACTCACTGACAATGAAATTCATCGTCCTCATGACCTACAAAGCTCCACATGATCTGCCCCTGCCTACTTCTCCTACTTCATCATCTCCTCTCACTCTCACTCGCTGGGCTCTAGCCACTTTGACCTCCTTGCTGAATAGCACAGTGATTAAAAGCCTGCACTCTCTAGCTACATCAGCTCTGCCACTTACTTGCTGTGTGACCATGAGAGAGTTTCTTAACTTCTCTGTGCCTTGGAGGATGATTCTAATAATAATATGTTATAGGGTTGTTGTAAATGAGGAATTAAGCGAGTAAATACATGTAAATCTCCTAAAACAGGGTCTGGTGCTTAATAAGTGCCTTATAAGCACTAGCTATTAATATTAATAGTTATTGTTCCAACATACCAAAAACTGCCCTGCTTCAGGGCCTTGGTTCTTGCTGTTCCCTCTGTCTAGAGTGTTTTTCTCCCAGATTTTATATGACTTTTACCCTCACTTCATTAGGGTCTCTGCTCAAATTTTCCTTCTACAGAGAGGCCTTACCTGACTACCCTATTTAAAATAGAACTCTCCCATCACTCTCAATCCCCATTTCCTGCTCCTTTAAATGATACCTATCACGACCTGAAGTTATATAGCATAGATTTTTTAAAAATATATTTTTATTGACTTTAGAGAGAGGAGGGGAGAGGAAGAGAGAGATAGAAACATCAATGATGAGAGAGAGTCATTAATCGGCTGCCTCCTGCACAGCCCCTGCTGGGGATCGAGTCCCCAACCCAGGCATGTGCCCTGACCAGGAATCTGACCTCGATCTCCTGGATCATAGGTCGATGCTCAACCAATAAGCCATGCCAGCTGGGCTAGCATAGATTTATTTGTTCACCATCTGCCTTTTTCTACTAGAATGTCAGGTCCTTGACAATACCACTGTAATGCCAGCCCCAAGAATGCAGCTTGGTGTGTTGTAGATGTCAGATAAGTAAGTTTTGAATGAACAGTTGGACGGATGGATGGGTGGATGGATGGACGGATGCGTGTGTGTATGGGTACATAAGGGATGGAATACAAAGATGGATGGATGAATGGATGTATTTGTGGATAGGTGCATCAATAAATGGATGGGTGTTTTGGTGAATTAAGAGGCATGTGAATGGACAAATAAATGGATGGATATGAGGTAGACAGAGTAGATGGATAAATGGAAGAGTGTATGATGAAGGGACGGGTAGATTGATCAATAAATAGACGTGTGAATAGATGAAAGAAGGAGTGGATGGGTGGATAGATGGATCAATAAATGGAGAGATAAATGAATGGATAGATTGATGAAGGGGTGGCTGGATGAAGGAAGGAGCGAACGGATGGACAGATGGAGCAGCTGACAAATAGGGGGGAGGTTGGATGGACGGAGGCTCTAGCAAGGAACCGTTCTGAACTCTGCCCCTGCCACTTTGTTTTCCAGGCCGCCCACCACCCCTCCTGCCCCTGTGTGCCTCGGTGTCTTTGCTGGGTGGCCTGACCTTTGGTTATGAACTGGCAGTCATATCGGGCGCCCTGCTGCCACTGCAGCTTGACTTGGGGCTAAGCTGCTTCGAGCAGGAGTTCCTGGTGGGCAGCCTGCTCCTGGGGGCTCTCCTCGCGTCTCTGGTAGGGGGCTTCCTCATCGATCGCTACGGCAGGAAACAAGTCATCCTGGGGAGCAACGTGGTGCTGTTGGCAGGCAGCCTGAGCCTGGGCCTGGCTGGCTCCCTGGCCTGGCTGGTCCTGGGCCGCTCAGCGGCTGGCTTTGCCATCTCCCTCTCCTCCATGGCCTGCTGTATCTACGTGTCAGAGCTGGTGGGGCCACGGCAGCGGGGAGTGCTGGTGTCCCTCTACGAGGCAGGCATCACTGTGGGCATCCTGCTCTCCTACGCACTCAACTACGCACTGGCCAGCGTCCCCCGGGGCTGGAGGCATATGTTCGGCTGGGCCGCCGCACCTGCTCTCCTGCAGTCCCTCGGCCTCCTCGGCCTCCCTGCTGGCACAGACGATGCTGCAGCCCGGAGGGACCTCATCCCTCTCCAGGGAGGTGAGGCCACCAAGCTGGACCTGGGGAGGCCAAGATACTCCTTTTTGGACCTCTTCAGGGAGCGGGATAACATGCGAGGCCGGACCACAGTGGGGCTGGGGCTGGTGCTTTTCCAGCAGCTAACGGGGCAGCCCAATGTGCTGTCCTATGCCTCCACCATCTTTCACTCAGTTGGCTTCCGTGGGGGATCCTCAGCTGTGCTGGCCTCAGTGGGGCTTGGTGCGGTAAAGGTGGCAGCTACCCTGATTGCCATAGGGCTAGTGGACCGAGCAGGCCGCAGGGCCCTATTACTAGCTGGCTGTGCCCTTATGGCCCTGTCGGTCAGCGGCATAGGCCTCATCAGCTTTGCGGTGCCCATGGACTCAGGCCCAAGTTGCCTGGCCATACCCAATGCCACCAGGCTATCAAGCCTCCCTGGAGACTCTGGCCTGCCAATGGGCTTGTCTTCACGCCCACTGCCAACAACCAGCAAGAACCAAGAGAAGCCAGTCTCATCAGCCTACGAGAAAACCAAGCATTGTCCCAGAGCTGGGGATCCCACAGCCCCTCCTGTGCCAGCCCTAAGCACCGCCTCCCCAGCACCCCTTTCTCCTGCCCCGGAGCGTGCCCTGCTGCACTGGGCCGCGCTGGTCTGCATGATGATCTTTGTGAGCGCCTTCTCCTTTGGATTCGGACCAGGTAGGTGGGAGTTCCTTGCAGGTAACTCTGAGCTTTCTACTCTTCCTAGTGGGAAGCTTGGGGATGGTGCCTGTCGGGGTCTCAGATGGTCACTAGAGGGGGCTCCACCATGAAGCCAATGCTGCTTTAGCTTCAGGGCTCCTCGCATATTTGCAGGTTACTCCTTTTGGAAGCAGGGGCCTGATTTTATGTTTGTAATATTTGTTACTTTAAAAAGGCCCCAAATCGTGTAAGCTTTAGGCCTCATAAAACCCAAATTTTCTCCTGAATAACTCACTCAAGAAAACTTTACTTGAAGGGAATTTAAAGAAAAGGGTGACCAACCGTTGGTTTGCCCAGGACACTGAAAGTGTTGTGTTCCAGGCATCCACCCCCTCGGTCCTGGGGAAACCAAGACTGTTGGTCACACTAAAGGGATTCTTACAGCCAGGCAAGAGAAGCAGCAGGGGAAAAGGTGGTGTCAGGCGCCTGACACTGTTGGAATTTCACTGATGGAAGGCTGCCTGCTGGACCATGGGTGCCAGCCTGTCCTGGCCACAGCCTAGGAGCCTTCCCTGCTCTCCTGTCCTAGTGACCTGGCTGGTCCTCAGTGAGATCTACCCCGTGGAGATCCGAGGGAGGGCCTTCGCCTTCTGCAACAGCTTCAACTGTGCCACCAACCTCATCATCAGCCTCTCCTTCCTCGACGTCATCGGTGAGTCCTCTGACCTCATTCCTTGGTCCAGTTCCTTCTGGATCCAGGAAGAACTTCCTTATTGGTCCAGGTATAAATGACAGAAAATCCCATACAAACCAGTTTATGAACAAAGGGGGTATTTTTGTCTTAAATCTGTGAAAAGAGGGCGGTTGGCTTCAACCAGGGCTGACCCAGAAGCTCCAACACAACTGTGGCATCTCTCATCTCTCTCCACTCTGCCTCCCGCGCTGCGGGCTTCACTCTCAGGCAGACGCCTCCTGGTGGCAAAGGGGACCGCCAGCAGGTCTCAGGTTGGCAGCCCGTGGAAAGAGCATGTCCTTCCCAGGGACTCTTTCCCTAGACCTGGGACTGCTTCTCATTGGCTCAGCAAGATCACACAGCCACGTCACTGTGGCTGGCGGGCTGTCTCCACCCCCTGGTTCCAGGCCTGGGTCATATACCCACCCGGAGCAGGGGGGTGCGGCGTGGGAGGGGGGGTAGACAGCCTCACCCAACCTCATGGGCCCGGAGTTGGAGGGGAATCCTTCCCCAAAGGAAAAATGTATCAGAAAAAGGGAGAAGAGAGGCTGGGAGACAAAGAAAACAGAAGATAGGATTTGTGAGGCTTCTACCTCATTCCAGGCCCCATCAGTGTGTGGGCTGGCTTGATTGCTGAGTTGGGAGTGGAGGCCAAAAGAGAACTGAGGCATCCATTTTTCCTGCTCCAGGAAGCCGATTAGTGTGGTGGGGGGAGGGGTACAAGCTCTGGATGGAGAGGGCTCTGAGGGTCTGATTTCCCCCCTCTCCACCAAGTGCAATCTCTTCTCTGTAGCCCAAAAGTCCCCACTCTAAAGCGGGAGAGTTTTTTAATTTTTCCTATTTGTAGCAGCAGAACTATTCTTCAAATAAAACTTTGTGCACAAGTTCCATAGAAGTGCCAGACGACATCCAGAACTCTCAGACACGCTGTGAAATTCTCCGAGCCCCGGAGCAGGTGATAGTCCAACCAACACCGGGGAGAACTGGTCTGAGACCAGAGGGTGCAGGAGCGGCAACCTTTCCTTTTTGTTCTAAGCCGGCGCAGACTGGCTCCTGCCCACCTGCCAGCAGGAAGGTCTCAGATCTGGTTTGGGTGACATCATCTCTTCTTCTTCTTTTTTTAAAATATGTTTTTATTGATTTCAGAGAGAGGAAAGGGGAGGGAGAGATAGAAACGTCAATGATGAGAGAGAATCATCAATCAGCTATCCCCCATATGCCTCCCACTGGGGACTGAGACCCAAACCTGGGCATGTGCCCTGACCAGGAATCCAACCCAACCACGACCTCCAGGTTCGTGGGCCGACCCTCAACCACGGAGCCACACTGGCCGGGCATATGGTCTCTTCTTACCTAGCATTCAAACCCAGTCTGGTGGGAATTAAATGGGCGCAGAACACTGGGGAAGGGTCTCTGAGATGCTGAGATGCACCTGGCCCAATTTAGCCCTTGGTTGTCTGGGCCACAGTGGGCAGGGCTCCTACATTGAGGCTCCAAGTTATTAGGGTTCAATGATTTTCCCACTTTCTGCAGCCATGCATTTTGTACTCAAAGGCACAGCCACCACTGTGGGCCTGTGGGAAACACTGGTAGGAGAACCCACCCACCGTGTCTGTCTCCCACCCCCAGTCTTAGGGAATCCAGACGTCTCCCTGCTATGTCCATCTTCAAGCATTTCCTCAATGGAATGAATGAGTGGATGAGAGAGTAGAAGGAAGAATGGGAGGGCTTTATTAGAATTGTATCCTACCCTTATCATCCCATTTCACAGATGGAGAAATAGGCCCTCCCTCAGCCCAGCCAGATAGTGAGCAGACTAGAACCCAGCCCTCCTGACTCCCAGCCCAGCTCTCTCCCAGCTGATACACGGATTCAGTGGAGGTCAGGCTGGTCAGCGGAGGCGCCTTGAAGGAGGTGTGGTCATGGCTGTTAGAGGTGAGAATAGCAGCCGAGACATCATTTGTGCATTTGGCTCAACACAGCCTCCTTCACAGCCTCCTTTCTCTCCCTTGGGCTGACTGACCTCAAAGGAGTCAGGGTCATCACAGGGGTCCTGGTCGCTGGCCCTGAGACCCTGGCCCCCACCCAAGTCTCCAGGAAGAGGGAGAGGCTGGGGTGCCAAGGTTTCTGTCATCTCTCCCAGACCAATCAGACTTGAGCCAAATTGGCTGAAACTCAGTTCCCTAAGTACTCAATTCACTGAATATCCAATTAATGGAATCACTAAGGATTGTTTTTCGGAGCTGGGCTTTTCCCAAGGCTGCATCCTGCAGCTGTTTCGCCCCTGAGGCAAATGATCAGGTTTTCAGATTCTGAATGCACTCCACCCATTAGTGTTTTAGATGTGAGCGAGTGGGCTTTCCCAGAAAGACAAGATGCCTTGGCAGCGTTTGTGGATCTGAGCCCTGCTTCGGCCTGCCTCTGGGACAAGCAGTCCTACTTCTGCTTTAAGGTCCTTATTTGACAGTTGTTGGTCATTCTGCAAANGCCCTGCTTCGGCCTGCCTCTGGGACAAGCAGTCCTACTTCTGCTTTAAGATCCTTATCTGACAGTTGTTGGTCATTTGCAAGNCCTACTTCTGCTTTAAGGTCCTTATTTGACAGTTGTTGGTCATTCTGCAAATCGACCACCTGGAGAATCTTCTTTGGGTGAACTGACATTCAATGTGCTACCTGGAACCAGCCAGTTGGCTGCACCCCTACCCAACTCTCACCCCCTGTTCCCAGGCACTATCGGCTTGTCCTGGACCTTCCTGCTGTACGGGCTGACTGCTGTCCTTGGCCTGGGCTTCATCTATTTATTTGTCCCTGAAACAAAAGGCCAGTCGTTGGCAGAGATAGACCAGCAATTCCAGAGGAGACGGTAAGGGGGACAGAGTGGGCCTGGCGGAAGAGCCCCATCCAACCCGAGCACTTCGCTGCAGGACTTGAGGTGCCACACTTTCCCTTTGCAAGAGGGTGCTTTTCTTTCTTCTTTTTTTAAAAAATCCTCACCCGAGGATATTTTTTCCATTGCTTTTCAGGGAGAGTGGAAGGGAGAGAGAGAGAGAGAGAGAGAGAGAAACATCGATGTGAAAGAGACACATCGATTGGTTGCCTCCCAAACGTGCTCCTATTGGGACCGGGTTTCCAGCCTGCAACCAAGGTACATGCGCTTGGCCGGAATCGAACCTGGGACCCTTCAGTCCGAGGCTCTAACCACTGAGCAAAACCAGCCAGGATAAGAGCACTTTTCTTCTTGCCTCTCTTACTGCCTGGACAGTGTGCATTTTGTCCTGACTTTATACAGGAGCCATTTTCCTTGAGCTTTGAGCCTTCCTACAACAGAGTTCCATTTGGTGTTAAGCCCAGCTGAGAGGAATTTTTAAATCCTGAAATTGTGGAATCACAGGAGGTTAGAATAGTAGAATCCTAAAAGCAGAGAATCTTAGAGTCATAGAAGCTTGGAGAAACTAAACATTATAATTGTGGTCTTTTAAAATCACACACAAAGAACTGGGGCTTAATTCACTCATCCAGTGGGTATTTATTAAGTCCCTACTGTGTGCCAGGCAGTGTTCTGGGCCATAGGACATATGGCTAAGAATAAGATGGGGAAGGCCCTTGTCCTCACAAAGCTTCCATTCTAGTGGGAGAGGGAAACAAAATAAACAAGCTAACATATGCATCAATACGAATATTTTATTTAGTGATGTGTAATTGGGAGAAAATGTAATGAAATGAAATAGGCTGAGAGGGCCCGTTTGGTGGAGAGGGGGATGGGGGGCAATGTAAGTTAGTAAGGAGGAGGCAGCCATGTAATGATGAGGGGAAGGAGCATTCCAGGTAGAGGGAACAGCAAGTGCAAAGGCCCTGAGGTTGGGAGTGTGTCTGGCATATGCAAAGAACAATAAGGAAGCCAGTGTGGCTGGGACAGAATGAGGGAGGAGCTAGGCCAAAGGTCTTGAGGTCATAGAGAGGAGTTCAGAATCTTCGCACCATGGGACCTTGGGCTGTTTAAATAAAAGAAGACAGGAATGGGGGCATCGGAAGGTACCTAAAAGCAGTATAATCCTAAGCATTTTAGCAAATGCCCTTGTAGTAAGGGGAGTCACCAGCTCCTGACTGCCCGTTCTATTTCTGGGAAGACCTAAAAGACTGGAAAAATGAATCATTCTAATATTGAATTAGAAGTTACCTCCCTGCATCTACCTGCCAAGCCTCACCCCAAACTGGCCCCTGAAGGGATACAGAACTAGTCCAGTGTAAAAACCTCTAACCCAGTCCACCCCACCCTAGAGTGTCCCCTGCCAGCTGAACCCTCCCAGTTAGTTGGGTGACACCTTCTGCAAACCCCTCAGCAACCCAGCTGTATTAGTTAGGAGACAGGTTTGGCTGATTGGAACAGTCCAAATGTGGGGGTCCAGGGCTGAGTGCAGCTGTGCCCCAAGAGGTCATCCAGGATCCCAGGCTCCATCTCTCTTGGCTCTGCTGTCTCTTCAATATTACCTTTCCCACATGGCCCATGACAGTGAACCATCACATTCCTGCAAAGGGGGGGGAGGGGGAGAGGAGGACCCAACCTGAGAGACGCACTTTTACCCACAGCCCTTTGGCCAGAACTTGGCTACACCTCCATGTAGGGGCAGCTGGGAAAAGAAGCATGGTCTGTAATCTGGGTAGCTCTGTGCTCAGCTAAAAGTCAAGGATGCTCTTACTAGACATAAAGGGGGGTACAGATACCAGGAGCCACCTGGATCTCTACCATACTGGCTTTCTTGGGAGAAGATTCCAGGCCCCTTCTCTGTGACAAAGAGCAAAGTGGGCAGAGCAGGTGGAAGCCAGCTTTGGGATAAGGCAGGATGCGATTGCAGCCAAGGGGAGTGTCAGGCTGGAGCTGGAGACTCAGGAGCACATGGCAATGAGAGCAGACACAGGGAGACCAAGAGGAGTAGTGGGTAATTCAGAAGATGGAAATGCATATTAAGGCAGGAAGAAAAGGGACAGGTAGGAGTGAGGGTGGGAATGGGATGGAGTCCCAGGGGATGTCCCTTCCCAGGCTCCCAGGCCCTGCCAGCCCCTGACTCCACTCACTCTCTCCTTGACAGGTTCCCCCCGAGATTTGGCCACAGGCAGAGCACGTCTGGTGTCCAGTACAGTCGCATCAAGGTCTCTGTGGCCTCCTGAGGAGTCCGTCTGCTTGGAAAATGCTGGAACCACAGTTTTAGCAGACAGTCTCCAGCTTCTTGCTTGCCTGGGCCCCAGAACACAAGTTCTAAGTGGTCCTTTGAGACTGACCCAGAGGAGGTCTTTTGTGCTGGGGTAAAAGGGATGAAAGTCTGAGAACCCAAAAGTCTTCATGTTCAGTCTCAGGCTCTGAGGGTTTCTGAGGAGCTGCCTGGCCTCAGTTTCCATATTGACTCTGCACATCCCTGCAGTACTATAATGAGAACATCTTATGAAGTTTCCACTGTTGCTTGGGCTTTCTCAAAGAATCTCTGGGGTACCTGGCAGGAAATCTTTCCTGGTATCACCCCTAAAAACAGCTGAGAACACCATATTCTCTGCTCTCTTTTCCCATCCGGCTGGGACTTTTCAGCGAGGGGAAGCCTGCTTTTTGCCTTTTTATTTTGTTCACCCCTACAATTCTCTTACCTGGAATATTTACCATTCATTCACCAGCAACTCTCACTGGTTGACAAGAGGCTTGAGTTCTAGTCCTGATTCTGCTGGTGTCATTGCTGTATGACCATGGGCCTCAGTTTCTTCCATATGTACAGTTGGGGGACCTGGGCCAGGTGGTTCTTAAGGTCTGACACCAGTGAGTTGGAATTCTAAATGCTGGTAATACAACAAATACTCAACATGGGCCCTGCTCTCAAGTCGCTTGTCATCTTTCTGGGCGATGTGAGCTTTATTAGGGGAAAGGTCCATAGAAATCCAGAATCATGTGCACTAAAATCCAAGCACTTGGAACGAGCTGCAGGAGCTGTCTCCAGGATGGTGCTGGTTGCCCTTCCATACAGAAGGGAGATGGGTTTGGATTGATTCTTAATTGAAAAATAGCTTTTAAGCTCAACAAAACACACCTGTGGCTAAATTATGACCTTTAGTCTGTGCCTCAGTTCTCGATGCCTTTTCCTCTGAAATACTCCTTTCCTCAGGGGTAGTGAGACTCCCAGCTTAATCTCTTTAGAGAGTCATGGCTTTTGGAAATCAGTAGCAAGCAAACTGAGTAGCCAGGCAGCTTGATCTAAATAGGTGGGAGGGGGTGTTTTTGACCGTGGAGGAAAAAGACACGCAGGGTACAAATGGTTCATACTTTAAAACATCTTNTGATCTAAATAGGTGGGAGGGGGTGTTTTTGACCGTGGAGGAAAAAGACACGCAGGGTACAAATGGTTCATACTTTAAAACATACCGGCACACGTAGGTGTGTGACTTGGGTAACTGCTCGTCTGTATAATGGGAATGATACTACTTACTATTTAGAGACGCTGTGTGTCCATCACTAGTTCAGGGCTGGGCTCATAGTAGGTGCTCAGAATCGCTGAGTAACTGGGCAGCCTCCAGGGACATCTGGCCCCCATGAGGAGGCCAATGAGGGCAAGGACCAGGTGGCAGTTCAGAAGGGGGGGCATCAAAAATTATTTTTTATTTGGGGTATCTACTAGGTACTCAAAGATCTTTAGCACCAATCAGAAAGGAGACATGGTCTGTTCATTGATCTGCAAGGTGGATACTGGGAAATTCTTCTCCTCCCAGATAACCTCAGAATCACTTCAAATTCTGGTCTATGCCCAGACCTTTCATAGGTGCGCCCAGCACTTACACCTTCCTGTTTTGGGCCAAATGACACGACACAGACTACTTATTAAATGCTTTTTCTTAAAGTGATTTGCTTTTCAACCTGTTGCACACATGGGCGATCTGCCCTGGTGTTCACCATGGTGTTACGTCTTGGTTCTGATGTGATTGAGGATTGTGGAGTTCCCTGGCACAAAGATGATCCGAAAAGAACTGCAGGAGGGAGGGATGGGGGTTTGGATGGGCTACAAAGAGAGGAGATGGCATGGCCCAGAGGGAGGGCCCAGAAAGTACACAACATGTGCAGCCAGGACACCAGGTTTGAGTTCTGCCTCGGCTACTTGCTAGTTTTGCCTCTATGAGCCTCAGTTTTTTCATCTATAAAATGGGGCACCGGCAGGCCCTACCTCAAAGGTTTGAGGGCGATTAATTGAGATACCAGATGGAGAAATCTCTTTCCAAGCTGTAAAGGGCAGTGTACCCATAGAGAGTGGGGATCCTCTGGAAATTCTCCCCAGAATTGGCAGGGCTCCCCCCGCTCAGTGGCTGCCTCCAGGCCCTGCTCTGACCCAGGGCCAGACCCAGTTTCCATATCTGTTCATTTTGCTTTCCAGCACAAATATTCTTTCATCCATGGCATAGGAGGACGATGGAATTTTGACATGAGGCAAAAATGTTCAGGGTCACACTCTGAAAGTGCTTCCAGACCCCCACATGCTGGGTCCTGTCCAGGGTAGAAGAGATTCTCATGGATGGGTGGTACATGGGTTTGGAGCTTTCCTCCTCGTGACATTGGAAGTGGAAACGCTGACATCCTGCTTTTAATTGATCCTCACGAGATGCAAAAATTTCCCAAGTAGGCTGTTGTGTTGAAAGCTTCATATTCTAAATGAAATGAAACAACTCAAAATGTTTTACTTAATGAGGTGAATCAAAACATCACACGAATTTTAGTATTATTATCTAATCTATTTAGGTCTACCTTGTATTAAAATCATATTGAAACATTTGTTGACTCAAATTTAGGTCTTTCTAAATTACCTGCTTAATACAGCCTCTCGCTGTTCATTTGAATTCTTTCTTTTCTGTGACAATATTTGAGAATCTTTAACGATTGTTATTGCCCATAACAATAGCTTTCAGAGTGTGTGTGTGTGTGTGCATGTGTGTGTGTGTCCCGCTGGACTTGGCACTACAAAGTTGCTAAACTCTTCCAGATCTGGAGTCCGATGCCATCCCAGCTCTCCTGATTTGATGGGCTGGGTGGCTGATTCCTATGATGTGATCCCAAAAGCTCTCTCTAGAGCATGTTATTCTTGCAATAATAAATGTACATTTATTTTTAAGCTGACCAATACAATTCCAATATCTAAAGCAATCAGACTTTTCTAAACCTCTGAGTTACATGTAGGAGGGAAATAACATGCCGTGTTTCATTGATCGGACAGAGAGAAACCTCCCTGATTACAGAACCGCTGTGGCACGCGGTGGGCGACTGTCTCATCGACTTTCCAGAAGCCGAAACCAAACCCAGCACTTAATGGCCATTATTGTTTTGATGCCACAGCCAACACCAATCTTGGATGTACATGAATTTTCTACTCCGAATGGCTGTTCAACCAGATACCAACAATGTTTATCTCTGAGTAGCGGAACAAGAAGGAATTTTAATTAGGTTCATTACATTTTTCTGCATTGTCAAAATTTTCAATGATAAACATAAAATCTGTAATAAAAATTTAAAAGAACCTCAATAAAAATTACTACAAACCATAAAGACGAAAGTGAAGCTGTGGTACATCAGATGGACGCTCAGTGGCCGTGTACCCCTCCCCGCTCTCAGCAGAGCACACTTGTGTCCTCACTGATGTTCTTGTCTATGATATAAAGCTGCTTAGAAACGAAGATGGGTATTTGGATCTCATCACTGAGATCATGTTGTATGTAACGCGTGGGGGCATTTACCTCCACGTTTCGCATGAAGCTTAGTTCATATCGTGTTGCCTGTGCCAATGTTAAGCATCGTAGCAGCAATTTCTCCCCGTGCCTGGCTTTTCCTCACTTCTGAGTGTGTAGAAAATTGAATTATGTGCTTACCAAGTCACTATTCGCTTTCCTGGCAAAGACTGAATCTGCCAGTGGAAACAGAGTGTTTTCATTTTCTTTCTTTCTTTCTCCCCATCATTCTGTGCTTTTCTGGTTTCTCTGTGTGCATATTTCCCCCCTGCATTTGGCAACTGTGAAGTTGCTAAGTTCTTCCAGATCTGGGGTCCGTTGCCATCCTACATCTCTGGGTTTGACGGGTGGGTCGGTGGTTACTGAGATATGATCCAAAAAGCTCTCTCTGAAGCCTTCTCTCAATCAGATGTCAAGTCATGAGATGGGAGATGGCAGTCACACCGCATCTGGATGCCAGGGTTGGTTGCCTTCTCCGTGAAGTGTATCTGCACCGTGCTGGGCACACAATAAGTCCCATTATATCCTCGACAGGTTTTCAACTGTCATGCAACCAGGTCAGTAGCTCTTGGCAGGAGCTATAAGATTTTAGCTCCAAAGAAACTCTTCATTATTTCTTGTACCATCAACTTCAAATGACCACACCGACTTCTCTGACTCCAACGTGGGTTAATTTTTGTGAAGACAATTGCAATGTGACCCTCGTGCTAGCACCTGAGATTTCCAGCCTTCCAGCCTCAGCCTTCCTATTGCCTGATCTGAAGCCTCAATGTAGGAAACCAAGAACTACCCCCACCTGCCATCGCTGCGTCCTTGAGTTTGCTTGTGGGCCTGGACCTTCCCGTATATTGAATGAGTGGAAGTCAGAGGTGCAGTCCTCTACTCTCTTTCCCTCCAGCCGCCCATTCAAACACCCCTGTGGGACAGTTCTGACTCCACATGAGCTATTGGACAGTTCCCATGGCTGTTCCGCTCACTCTTAGATAGTGATAAAAGACAATATGATGATTAGAACAATGAAATGTCTTCTAGTCACTTCCAAGTGTAACACTGGTCCCAGTTCAGTAATTTAAAATGTTAAGCCATGTCAAAGTTTCAAACCTCATTCATGTTATACCCTTCTCCTCCCCCACTCTTACTCCCCCCTCAACCCCAGCCTGACTGAAAAGGTAAAGGGCATGAAGGCCTTACTTGGCTGATGCTGTTAGGATGTAGCAGCACGCTTTCCAGGCTCGGTGGGTGTTGGCAGCCCATTCCTCCTCTTGTTAGAGTGTGTGTGTGTGTGTGTGTGTGTGTGTGTGTGTGTGTCGGGGGGTGATCTTGGCAATTCCCTCCCTGGGAGCCTCTGATGAACTTCCTCAGGCTCAGGTGATGCGTCTCCTCTGGCTGGCCACATTCAGCTTTGCCCTCAGATCCTTGGCATCTTCACTTGATCCCTCACATTTCCAAGTCATCCCCCCACTGTCCCTGGAAAAATTCACAGCTTTGGCCCACTCTAGAGCCACTTCCTGCTGCCGCTGGTAGTAATCCATCATCTCGCAAAGGCTGAACAGCCGTAAGCTCGGACTTCTGTTGCCTTCAAGGTGATATTCTCGAGGGTATTCTCCTTGGGGACCTACCCCTGCTCCTGTCTGGCCAGGGAGGGCGTTTCACTTACCTTCCCAAACAGTGATTGGGTCAAGAATGGGGGCTTGAGCGAAGCTGAGCCAATCAGAGCCAAGGGTGCTGCATCCGGGGAATTATTTTTAAATATCATAAGAGAGACTTTTTTTTTTACTGATTGCTGAGGGACTGGGATTTGTGCCTAGAGCTGTGTCTGCCTTTATGCTACCAGCAAGGAGACCCAGGTTGAGAATGAGGCCAAGACAGAAGGCGGCGTGAGGACAGGGAGAGAGAGATTCCCGATGACATCATTTGCGCATCTCTTGTCTAAAGTCAGACTCATCCGTGAGCATTTTAGATATGTGAGTCAATCAATTTCTTTTGATCTCTTAAGCCAGTTCATGCTATTTTTTCTGTCACTTGCAATCTAGAGACCAGGCTGATACAGAAAGAGGAGGAATCATATGCCAAGAGGAGAAATAATTAAGCATTGATTTTGAGACTTGCCTGGTCTTAAATGTCTCTTTAGCATAACTCCCATCAAGAGTTTCATCAATTCATTCATTCAACAAATATTTCTGAAGCGTCTTGAAATAACTGTTCTTTTCCAGACTTTATAGGTAAGGAAATTCAGGTTTCAGCAAGGACACAAAACCTGCTCAGTGTCACACACACTGGGTGTCAGCAGGGCCTCACCCCCATGTGTGCCTGTCTCCAAAGCCCTGGTTTTCCCATCAGGCTTCATCACCTCCTTTGAGACGCGCTGCTGTTACCAGCCAATGCCTGGCTGCCTGTCGGATCACATTCCAGGAATGAGCTCCTGGAGCAGCAGGGCACAGACTGTGTCATCCCAGGGGGTGACAAGGCCTGTCAGGAAAGGGGTGGGCAACAGCCTCTCTGCCTCCTAGAGAACCTTCAAATTATGCCCATGTGACCCCATGAGTCTGATTCACCCTGCAGTCTCTCTGGGACTTAATGTCTTACATCTAGTAGGTGCTCAGTCATAGTTTATCAAGTAAAAGAAATAGTGGGGAAAATGTTTGCTGCTGCAACCACGGTGCCAGGGCTATGATTCAGTGGCACTAATTGCCCCCTGGAAACAACTGCGTACATGTAATTCTATGTCTGAGAGGTTATCCCACAGACACATTTGCACACAGGCCCATGCCAGGACCACAGCGCAAGGTTGGGCAGCTTGTGCACTGCTCAGCATTGGGAGACACCTTTCACATCATCGGGGATGGGGTGAGAGGTAGATAGCTTTTCAATGTCTACCTTTGTGTGCTGTGTGAACATTTTTCTTTTGACTGTAGTCATATATAACTTCTTCCAAAGAAAACCTTTGGTGTGTTTAAATTTCTTAACACATTGCTTGGCCCATCAGCGCCCAATAAGCATTATCAGCCACTATTGCCATCACTGCTACTATCTGTAAAGTGCTGTTTTGAACTCCCATAAGGTATTACACCACAGAGACACACGAGGGCGCACCGGGCATCTGGTGAGGTGTTTTCCCAGCAGCAGCCTTCTGCAGCTGTAATTTTGAGGGTACAGCAGTGGAGGGGGAAAATATTGGAGGTGCTCTGAGTGACAAGGTCAAATCTTGGCTCCATCTTGGTCCAATCGGCCAACCTTTTCAATGAAATACTAGGCTCATTTCCTGAGCGTTTCCCTAATGGAAATCAGGGTGGCTCCATTCTCCACTGGTGGTGCTGGTGGTGAGGAGAGCTCCTCCAACCCCCATCGCTATGCAACAGGGGTAATAGAACCCACCGTGCAGGGCTGTTGCCAGGATTAAGCGGGGACTCTCGGAGATCAAAAGAAGCTGAAACCAGAACGAAAAAAGAGAGAGAAAAGAAAAAAAATCCTCCCAATACATACCAAGATTGAAGTCAATTTTACAAGGTTAGATTTTAAAACCCATGTCTCTTAACACACACACACACACACACACACAATGTAACAACAGCAATTCACATGGTCTGATAATGGGACCCAAGTTTAATGATTTTTCACAATCCCTTCTGCTTTCAGTTCTGGGGGCGCTTCTCTGTGACTTGGGTGTAACTTTATTTGAAGATAACACATAGAAGCTTGTGCAGAGGCCTGCAGCAGACGGATTGCTTGTCTTCCTGAGAGGGGTCCTCCCTTCTTCCCGGTTATGAGAACTTTGTTCCAGCACAGAGCAAGCAGATGGCAAGGTGCTCAACGGAGAGATGCTCCACCCGTAGGCCAAGGGGTCAATTGTGATGGCCTAAGTCATCCTCTTTGGCCAGCAATAGGTTTATAGATGGGCATATGCACTGGCTCTGGTCAGTGTGATGTAAATGAATTTCTCCTGGGGGGTCCTGGAAGAAATTTTCCTTTGGGATATGATAGGGACATGAGAAACTTCTCTTCTGTCTGTCCTATCTTTGAATGTAGTCAGAAGTCTGGAACAGAAGCAGCCACCTTGTGACCACAAGGAAAAAAAATTAAGGAAATTGCAGAGGCCCCCATCCTCATGCCCAACACACTTGAGGTGCCCCATTAGCCAGCCCTCTAAAGCAGAAGCCTGCAGATGGGGCAAAGCTTGGGAGTCGGGCAGATCAGTTTCAAGTCTCATCTCCAGCCCACGCTGGCTGTGGCCTTGGGCCTCACTTCCTCACCCTTAAATTGGGGAAGATAAAAGAGCTCCTGGCGCTCTCCTCAAATCTGCTTCCCCACCAGCCTACCCAGCTTCGTTCGGACAGCTCCGTTCTTCCCGGAGTTGAACCCTAGGTACATGAGTCATCTTTGTGAGCTCTCC